GGGGGGGGAGGGGGGGATGGGATTGCTGATAGCAATATCTCCCTCTCCACAGCGTGTCATTGTTCTAAAGAGGTCATTCGGTTCAGAACGACTCTCAAGTGGAATGCTGAGCCCGAAGAAGCCTCCCTATGACAAATTTCTCAATTACCTCGGTGGCAAGGCCATAGATCAGGGTTTATCGGCCAAAAACAAAAATATAACAATTGCAGCTATTAATGGAAATAAATGTATTATACGAGTAATACCTATTCTCTCATAGAAAAACATGAATAATCTCTGCAATTAGCGTGAGTGCAGGGGCAATAAATAAATCACTCACACGGCCCGTAGAGGAACCTGTTGCTTACTGGCCCCGACTTTATGGGAAAGTGGTAATAGCACGTTACTTGTACATAACTCCCAATCTTTCCGAAAGCAAGTTTTTTTTCTATTTATGTTCTATCCCCAGTCTGCATAAACAAAGTAATATGTGGCCAAATTATGGCTAGTTTTATTCTGCATGCGGTAATAAAATTCGTGAGGCTAATCCGTTCTCAAAGGGCAATCTCATAAAGAAAGAGATTCGAGATTTGTAATAAAATCAAAGCCCTTGGAGCAGCAATCAAAGTCTCCGGAATACTTCTCACATTCCATTTTCTTGGATTTGCTTCTGGTCTTAAAGTCTTCTGACATTAATCACTCTTGCTTGTGGCAATTTACAAGGACCTACAGTGTTATAATTGGCTTCTGTTCTCTCTGACGAGTATGGCACTAGTTGATCGGTCCCGAAAGGATGAAAGCACTGCAGACAAAGCAAACACTGCACCAGCCAAGGAGTAATGAAATAACAACAACGTGAATGACCTACTGAGATTCACTCAATAGGCTTGCGACTTAGAATTCTCGACCGTCACTTTGTCCTCTACCCCATCGCATTTCCAGAGCTGGAACAAACTTTGGAACTGTTTTCGTAGACCACTCTCATTTGCCCAGACTTCTCCATTTGCTTCCATTTGCTAAGACTTCATGCGGATATCCACAAGAGCCGAGAGCTCAACATTCCGTTTCATAGCTGCTGGACAGGGTCATGAATGGCCATTAGTATTATAGTTCTAGAATTTCCTTCCATATCACTTTCTCGCCTTCCTAGCATCATGCTCTAGGGTTAAAGCATGCCTCGGGGTGAGTTCTTAAGCCCGAGTCTCTGTTCGTTCCTGTAATTGACCCCATTATGTCGTGAATCGTCAAGAACCCTTTATTTCTCTACATTTTTCAGGACAGCGGTCTGAGAAATACCTGCTTTTACCCAAACCCATTAGTAAGCGAAGTGATCTCTGACATCGGATGGATACCCATTAGTATGCTGCTTGGCTCTTTAGTTTGATGTTTGGCCGTTGATCTAGGCCCTAACGTCAGACATCCGTTCAGAGTGTGCGCGAAACGCAGTTCGTCATATTAAAGGCACAGTTCACGATGATTTTTAGGTACCTCTTTTCAATCAAGTAACGGAAGCATAGGCTAAGAATAGTTCATCGATATTGAAGAAAGCGAGAAATTTCTCCAATTTTGAGAAAAATAGGGCTCTTCAAAAATAAGAGGGATAATAAATGTTGGACGAGATCACCATGACGGAAATAACATGGAAGGGGTATTCGGTCGAGATTTCAGTTGTTGCAGCTGCACAAAGAGCTGTCTACATCACTTGTGACTGTACAGAACTGCCTTTCGCTGTCCCTATTGCTCATGACAAGTTGTTCAACTTCTTACATAGGGTCCCATGTGATCGGTGCAGCCTCTACAATGCCGGTGAAACTCGTCCCATGATACAAACGATACAGTCTTTGAACCTTTATAACACCCTATCTAGGCGGTTTTCCGACCTGATAGTGCCACGTATGGTATGCTAGGGGGCCTCGAATTCATCCTATTGTGAACCTTCAGAAATCATTTTTATCGTGAACTGCGCCTTTAATAGTACATCGTCTTCCCATTTGTGCAAACTTGTGCCATCACCGACAAAGAAGTCTCACGTGAAAGCCTAGAGTAGAGATGGTTGTCTAACTCAATGTCTTTATTTAACTTTTTAGTTCTCCCTCCAAGATTCTACCAGGAGAGTCCCAAAATCTAGCGATTCCGTCTGAATCCGTAGCTGACAGTTGATAACATTGGATTCTTTCCATAAATTTCTGTTGCTCGTAGCCGATCCCAGGCATGCTTTTACCGCTCTTCTCGATGAGTATGCTAGCTCGTTTGAACCGCGTTAGGAAAAAGCAGCCATGAGAGCAAGTGATGCTGCCCCTCTTAGCATCTGGTTACGGTAAGCTTTCGGGTTGAAATTACTTCTCGAAACTATTGAATTACAAATGAACTAATGTAGAGGCACATTCCCACGGCAAGTCTTGTTAGAACATCCCTTTTTGACCGACGTAGGGGAAGGGGTGGTAAGCACTTGAAGACGTTGTCACTGTAACGCCCGGGGTGCGGTAACTTCTCCCCGAAAATCGCGTCGCGCTCGCCACATCCTTTCGCGCACAGCTGCGCTCGCGGCACCCGTTCACGCGTAGTTATACGCTCCGAAGGAGAAGGTCTGAATCCCCAGTTGGAGAGTACGGTAATCCTATGGAACCACTGCCGCTTGATGTGGGAATTCGAGGAAAGTACAGTGATTTCGAGGGGTACTATTCACGAATCGTTTCCATAACTTTCTTCTGCATGAAGCTAGTGATTGGTTCGTCAATTTCATTGCCGGCCTGTTGGCTTGTACATATATCTGTCCGTAGGTCCGTACTTTATCAATCATAAAGCTGTTTATGATTGATAAAGTTAATGATGTGGGAAATTCATCCCAAACAGATGTAGTATCAGCCAGCAGTAAGTTCGAGTGGTTGGCAGGTCCGGCGCTCACACAGCCACACCATAGAATAGGTGATTAAGAATGAAGGATGAAATATTCGGGAGTTGATCAATCCCGTCTGAAGGACGTGCCTACGCATCCGGCTTCCATTCACAATGGTGCGGAGGACGTATTGAATGCGTATTTGGCCTATACAATGACTTACGGTGGCTAGTCGGTGTACATGTCAGCGTTTTTGCCCTCCCAGACAGTTTTGGTACCAAATAACCAAGCCCGGAGGGATGCAACCCTTGGTTGGTCTAAGCGGATATTGACCCGGGATTCGAACTGTGTGTGATAGTGTAACACAGAACCACAGCCGCTTGAATAGGGTATAGCTCCCATCAAATCTGTTCGATCGATAACGATCGATATCCCATACATGGTGTGATTAAATAATCAATAAGAACCAATCTTTTCCGATTCGAGCGATTACATAATTAGGCCTGATTCACATGTAATATAATGAACTCAGAACTGGATTGCCCATGAGTACTGACTGGATATACGTCAGTATTATGATATCAGTCGATACTGGTGGTAATTACCGGTCCTCCACCAGTCTTACTGCGAGTCGTAAATTATTATGAGTTCGATTATGGGCCTTGGAATCAGTCGCATGAATCGACACCAGACAGTCTTTTTGCTCACCCGCTCTCCAACCCTGTTTTACGACGGATTTTCGACATAAAACTGGCTTAGGGAGGCTCCTTAATTATGAAACGTGAACCTATTTCTCGATTTGGCTATACGGTTATGGTGCAGTAGGATCGAAATAGTCGCGTTGCGGCGAGAGAGATGCCGCGCGCGAAGGAATGTGACGGAATGCAACAGCAGCTAAGAAATACAGGAAAAAAAAACTAACAGCAGAATCATGCTTAAAATAATGATCGTCTGGGGTTCTGGCGAGGTATTTTCTGTGAAAATCATTGTCATTCTCTCATTAAGTATGAAGTGTGAGACTTTGGTAGACAGCGCAAGACGGTGAGATCCAGAGCAGCAAGTAGTAAAGTCGTTCAGAACCTTACCCACTAGACGCTTACGGGTCTGCCTTGCATCGGAGGTGGGGGNCACAGGTTCGAGTCTCGGGAAAGCCAAATCATTGCAACGTGAGAAAAATACGCGTTCAAACACCACTGAGATCCCGAGCAGATGTTGAATGCTGAACGCATCTCAAAACGAAATAATTAGAAGTGAAAGGGCAACATCTTTCTATCAGCGAACTTTTCGGGTTGTACATGAATTTTGCTACTTTCATTTTCAGCGGCTGCGGTTGATATAAGCGATGCTAATGGCGCTGTATGAATATTATCTGCTGAGCTGTCCATTATATTCAAGGGGTGCTCAACGTTATATCCAACACCCAATTCATTACTACAGGGAAGAAGTTGTAGAGTACCCCTTTCCTTCCAATCACAGTGATAGTGGACTGCAAGTTAGAGCATATAGCTTAGTTTAGGAATTGCTCCTTATCCCCCAAGCTAGACCTCTTCAATGAACAACTGTGATGTGAAAATTATTCTCTGAATCTTTATTCATTGATTTCTTTGCTTATTTGATTACTTAGAATCAGTTGTACTATTTTGTTTTCATTTTTTTTTTGATATTTATTTTTTAATTTATTTCTATTGTTTTATTTATAATCATTAATATTCAATGGATATGTAAATGCAGGGCAAAGTCTTTTGGTGTTGATTGATCACGTCTGAGGGATGGGTACCAGCATTTGAGTTCCATCCAGAATCGTAGGGGTGTACTGAATGCGTATGTGACCTATACAATGACTTCCAGTGGACAGCCGATTTCCAATTAGTGCTTTATCCTCCTAGACGGGTCTGCTACCAATTAGCCAAACCTGGAGGGCTGGAACGCTTGGTTGGCTTGGGTGAGTATGGATCCGGTACTCGAACCTGGACCATGTGAGCATGATCATGACCCTTTGGCGCCTGTACCACCTCCGCCCCTTGTTTACTACTTATTGTTACCAATTGATATTGCATAAGGAAGTCGCAGTTCACACATAACACAAACAACTCAACGACGTAACAGAGGAACCCAATACTTCGTTTGCTTCGAGGGAAATAGACCTGTATTTCGGAAACAAACTATCCAGTAGACCTCTGGGCTCGGGCTTTCCTTTGGGCTAGGGGTAGACTTAACCCTAAAGACAGGTATAGGTTTAGGAACGTCCATTTTAAATGGAAGTCGGATGCAGAGTCGCATTCCAGAAGGACCCAAAAGGCTTTATCCCTCATCCTTCATCTTGTCTTGTGGTAAACCTCAATGACTTGGACAGTAACCGATAGGCCTACATAAATGTTCCTAAATATGCACCCAAATATCTTCCTCTTCTCGTATGGTAGCGATTAGAGTCCTTCGCATGTCTCGATGATACGAAAAACCGCTAGAAAACACTTCGTGACTTAGTCACCTTCAGTCGTACTTGCAGACTGCCATAAGTAGGACTCAGATTCCATTGAGTACCAGTATTCTACCTCATAAGCCGTTTTCTGTCCTAAATTATGAATTCAATGGAAATAGGCATCTCGAGACGCCATTACTGCTGACGCAAGCATCATCCCATTCCAGCTAGCACATCTAAAAAGAAAAAAAAACGCTGCATCTCGGAAAGCCATCATTCGATCGGATCTTGTGTGGGTCCATAGAACATGAGAAGCTTTTGTTGAATCGACCATATGTTTCATCAGAGCTGCTGACATGCCAGCAATAAATCCTTGACAACATCCATTGTACTCAACCTGCTCATATGTCTTCTCAGCCTTTTGGCAGTTATTGCGAAGGCATGCTACATTACCTCTCACAAAAACGAGGGTTTGCTAACGTGCACTCTACACCCTCACATAAACGTGCCCGAAATCGAAGCCTGAAACGACGCTATAATTGAGGGACGCCGCTGGAAGCTTAAGCTTTTTGCACGTAATAGAAGTGAAGGTTGTACGAGTTCAATGTGACGGGAATGGCATGTAAGGG